CCCCACTTTAGCGAATTTTCAAAATATCGCCACATCAGCACAATGTAACAAATTCGGTAAATCATGGCTGTACGTGTAGACCATTCCATTTATAATAATGATATACATATCTCGTTATTACTTACTACTACATATAATTTAAGATTCAATCATATGTAATTTATTTTTCATAATTACGACTCCTTATGAATAACGAGTTACTAAGGCTTGAATATACGAACTCTATTAACTTAGTTTATCAAAATAATTGTTTATTTAAATAAAAAATCAGCCATAAATAATAATACATTAATTGTATTAAAAGTGTTTACATCCAAAATCAATTGGGCTTAGTGCATAACACTTGAAATTGCTACCCAGTTGTAGCATGAGATTGAATGGATGACATTCTCGCGAAAAGTTATGCAATTGAAGCAAGTCAGGATTGGGTACCATACACCAAGAAATTTGATCAACTTAAAATAGTTGAAATATAATTATTCTTTTAATGATCCAATATGACGGGCATCTTTTCAGCATTAATCAAATAAGTGCACGAACAACATAACAACTTCACACGAACACAACAAACAAGCAAAGACCAATGAAACGATGCTTCTCAACACTCTGTCGAGTGTCTACTACAGATGGATTTAGAATGACTATATTTATGAGGACGAGAGGAAACAAATCTATAAATAACCTTTTAGGGCTAATCTCGTTGTCATTCCAATGTACATCAATTAACAGCCAAAACTATCTTAATAAAAACCAACACATTCACAGAGAAATAGTTTTTTTTTCTTATCTTATGTATATCAGAAGGCAAACCATCTATTACATGGTACATACTGAAATGAAGTCCTCTAATACTGGAAAATTACTTTAAAATAGTAGGGGTCGTGAAATTAGCACCTGCTATCATTACGTACACTGGATGTGACAATTTTTGAGATCTCAAATCACAAGAGTGAACTATACATACAGTCATCACTGATCAAGTGTAGTAATACTATACACAAAATATTGCTTACAATGCAAAATTTGGGAAGTTCATTGATGCCTCAGGCTAACCAGCTCAATATCGAATATGAGTGTCCCTAGTGTTGAGCCTTCTCCATTGGCTAGACGCGTTGGATTGAAAATGGTAGTAAAGAGCCTCTGTCTATCGAAAAACTGCAAACAAGAAATTAATTAAGATATCAATCATATAAAGTATAAAATAATGCACCATCAGGATATTTTGGTCACTCTAGTTTCTAACACACTTCTCCTTCTTAACTCTAATTTACACACATTATTTTTCATATTATCTATGCTTTACCTACTGGTCTGAAGTTGTAAATTCATACATATATATCTGCTTAACATTTTGCACACCGGTAGAGAGAAAATATGCTCAATGCTAATTTCCTTTCTACGGATAATCCTACATAGAACTGAAGCAAAGGGTGAGATAAAAGTGATTAGTTAGAACAAAGGCTAAAAGACTTCTAATGAAATAAATGTCTCTATAAATGTTGAATTGAGTATTGCAACATGCTCGCTTCCCACTAATAAATCATTGATATAGATTCTTTAGATTATCATCTTTGCCTCTGTTTTTGTTGAAATTCTTGCTTTTATTTCAGTCCACCAGAGATCCTAATTACCCTACAGCAGCAGTTTCTTTATGCTGCTTTTAGTTGATTGAGTTGTTTTTTGATCTTGCACAGGAGGGAATGTCTCAGTATTGCTGTACTTACTCTTCGTGTACCAATGAAATCTCTCTTTTTGAATTAAACAGAATCTTTGTAGAAAGAGATTCGACCAACCCCATGTGGATTAGACTCTTGTAAATTGGTTTTTCCCAAGTAGTATATGATCATTTGGCTATATGATTGGTATTGCTGTTGTAGGAGAACTATAGTCAGCTTTGTCAATACACGCTAACACTGTACTACAATAACAAGCAAAGACTTGTGAAATCTAGTGGATAAACAAACAGGCGTAGGTACATCTATGACAGACAACAGCACTTTTTATGTTTTTGTTCAACCAAATCCTCAAAACCAGCTATAACATAATTAATACAAGAGTTAAGATACATACATTAGGTGGAATGGGCTCTTGAAATGTGTTTTGGTACCCTTCAGATGGTGGGATAATGACTCGACGGATACCACCTACTTTCATTGATCTTAGTGCCGTGTCAATTCCCGATATGACCTACATTAGTCCAGACAGGAAAAAAAATACCCTGCATTACTTGATAATAAATTCAGTGAAAGATGGAAATTATCTACATGTAATAGAGCAAGCAACAGTTCGCTTCAAAAGTACTACAGTTGCTTACAAAACCACAGATTTTCATCCATGAAAAATGAGATTAAGTAGCATTAACATATTGTTCATTCTTCTTCTCGGCATTAGAATTAGTAACACCCACTATCATACACAAACACAAAAATATGAAGTAATGGAATGAGGGAAAAGAAACAAACAAGAGATTTTTAATCCGGTCAAATATAGTGAAGGGCACCTCAGAAGTAGAAGTATGCTAATCATTTTCCCCTAACAATTGAACTGAATAAAGCACATTTCAACATGGAATGACAACCAATTGAATGATAATATCCATTCCGCAGGTTGTGATCAGCCAAAATTTAGTTAGCCGATAAATCAATTAGTAGAAACTACCGCAAATTAATCAACAGAAATTTTAGGGTTTTAAAAGATAGAATCAATTGACGTGTTATCAGGGCTTACTTTGCCGGAACCAAGGATGAACTCAAATGGAATTGGCTCTCCGGTTCCATCTTTATGGTCATACGTCGAATCAAAGCGCCACCCTTGCTTTGCAGCCAATCTTCCATAGTAATGAATTGCAACCTTTTCAACCCAGAACACAAAGAAACAAATACTAATTGACTTGAAATACATTACGCACACATATAAGAAAATACGAAAGGGGGATGATTAACCTTATCGCCATTAGCTGGCGTCTCACCGTCTCCAACGCGAAGGTCCAGAGCCTTGACTCCACCTGAATTTGGGAGCTCTACAAAATCTGAAATCGCAGTTTTGGACCAACTGTAATTTGTAGAGCAACTATCGGAGAATGCCAGTCCAGAGAAAACCGTGGTGAACGTAAAGATTGATAAAGCTTTCCTTCTTGTAACAGATGAAGAAGTTGCATAGATTTTGCTTGATGAAATTTGAGGAACAGAAAAGAGTGGAAGGGGATGGCAAGCTTGATACTGAATCGTCATGATCCTGTACATCCTGGACTTTTTGGGTTTGGACATGTTGCAAAATCCCTAAATTTTAAGGAAAATGCCCAAATTTTGTTGTATAAAAATCCCTAAATTTTAAGGAAAATGCCAAAATGCCTAAATTTTGGTGGCCGAATGGGTGATCGATCCTCGTATGAAGCGTGGATCCCACGTGAATAAAATAATGTCTGACCCTCGAGGTGTGAGTGTTCGATCATCCCGTATGTCAACAATTATGTTTGTGTAGCATGATTCAAATTTTAATTAGGGGTTTCATTTAGCTCTTGTTTGAAGGTAATTCTCAGTACAATTCTAATGAAAATTTTGACCGTTGGAGCATTGTACAGTAATTTTGCTGCAATTATTTTTACAAAATTGCCCATTTACCCTTTTGACATTTAGCCCTTATTTGGTGGGATTAAATTTATTAAAATAAGATTTTTAGTAAATTTTGATAGAAGTTGATAAAATGTATAGTAATTAATTCTATTTGAATGAAGGACATTTGTGGCAACTTAGCAAATATTGAGTTGAAAATTGCGATGGGAAGAGGAGACCCATATTTTCAAACGGTCCAAATTTTCATTAAAATCTTGTAAGAATCGCCTCCAAACAGGAGCTCAAAAAGCCTAGTCAAACCAATTATTAATTTAAAAAGTCCAACGATTATTTCTTTTAGTTAGAAGGCCTAAACATATTTTTAAAAAAATGAAAAATACCACTTGTAAATGACTAAAATATCCTTATATACAAAAAGATATTAATGCCCTAATTCCAATTTCAATTCCCACTTAGCTCTAATTGAATTCTGGCTTCCCTATCTTTCACAAGATTTGGCTCCAACTGTTATTTCCTTATCATCATCTTCTCTGTTTAATGAAATAATAAAATATACATTTTCATTTCCTTGAACACTTATTTGGTTAAAGCAAATAATCAAATTGTACAACATTCTTGTTGGGAATTTGGAGAAGAAGAGAAGATATTGTAAATTTTCAATATTTGGACTACATTCATTCTCTATTTGTTTTTTTTTTTTGAATAATTTTTTTATATTGTTGTTTGTGTGTATATATGGTATTCATCTGTTAATAATGATTGTTAATTCATTTTATCATTGGATTAAAACTTTTATATAGGTTACTTCCCAATCTTTTTCTCATTACTCCTTATTTGTATTAATTGAAGTAAAATGTAAGTTGGTAAACACATATTTGGCTATTTTATTTATTATTCTCCTATAAAACATACTTTTGGATTTCTTCTGTACATAACGACTCACATACTGTTTTTTACAATTCAAAACGACTTATATATCGTTTTTTACAATGCCATAATGACACACATTAATTATCGTACAAAAGTTTGATATTTTATAAAAAATTTCTGTTGAATTACAGTTAATTATAGTAGAGAGGGAAGGTCGGCCATAGCTATTTTCATTTTTGTATACTTGGTCAGATGACACCGCGGATATGGTATGGATATCAATTTGTTATTTAGTTGATTATGAACAGTGTATTGAAAGTGCATGAAAATGAAAATATGCATGGAATGGCAAAGGAAAAACAACGTCTATTCTTGTTTTGAAAACAAGATGTTGAATATCAATACAATGATATACAAAATGCAGATTTCTGTTCTTGTCCATATAATGTCTAAGAATCCAGCTACATCGACCATCATTGATTGTGACAACAATGTTAAGTTGTTTGTATTTGTTTGTAGAGAAACTTTTTTTTTTTTTGTGTAACCCTTTTGAATGTAGTTGTTGAAATCAAGAAGATTTTGATGATAAGGGTATTTTATTACTAATAGAAAGTGAAGAACAATTTGGAAATATGAATAAGAAGAAGGAATATGTTCGACGGACGACAATGAATACGATGATAACGGTGATGGAATATATTGTATATTGTAATGGTTTTGACTTAAGTAAAGATAGTCCCAGAAGAGCAGATGACGAAGATAATTTTCTTGTATCAGACAACAATGATGTGAAGTAATATACGGATGAACCTTGTAGTTAGAATGTAGCAAATGATAATGATATTGAATGTAGTTGGATTGTATATGCAAGTGTAAGTTCGCTCCGTTGTGGGATATTGTAAGAAATTCGAAAAATGAAGATGTGTAAGTCAACCAACTATTTCCATCTAAATATAACCTAGTGTCAAAATTACAATTTCTGATTGTGAAGTGTTACTTTGAATACAAAGTTAAGAAGTCAAATAAAAGTGCTTATACAATTGCTTGTATTGATGAAAATTGTAAGTGGCGCTTGCGAGCAACCAAGATCGAAGAAGGTTCTATTTTCAAAGTTCAAAAGTACGATGGTCATCACTCTTGCTCCATAAGCTTTTGTAGTAGAGACCATAGGCATGCTTCATATATCATTATTGGAAACCACATCGTCCTTAAGTATCAAGATGCCAACTGAGTTTACAGACCAATGGACATCTGTTATAATAGTCGGATAGATTTCGGCATAATTTAAGTTATATTAAATTGTATGTGGCTATATATNTGACATTTAGCCCTTATTTGGTGGGATTAAATTTATTAAAATAAGATTTTTAGTAAATTTTGATAGAAGTTGATAAAATGTATGGTAATTAATTCTATTTGAATGAAGGACATTTGTGGCAACTTAGCAAATATTGAGTTGAAAATTGCGATGGGAAGAGGAGACCCATATTTTCAAACGGTCCAAATTTCCATTAAAATCTTGTAAGAATCGCCTCCAAACAGGAGCTCAAAAAGCCTAGTCAAACCAATTATTAATTTAAAAAGTCCAACAATTATTTCTTTTAGTTAGAAGGCCTAAACATATTTTAAAAAAATGAAAAATACCACTTGTAAATGACTAAAATATCCTTATATACAAAAAGATATTAATGCCCTAATTTCAATTTCAATTCCCACTTAGCTCTAATTGAATTCTGGCTTCCCTATCTTTCACAAGATTTGGCTCCAACTGTTATTTCCTTATCAGCATCTTCTCTGTTTAATGAAATAATAAAATATACATTTTCATTTCCTTGAACACTTATTTGGTTAAAGCAAATAATCAAATTGTACAACATTCTTGTTGGGAATTTGGAGAAGAAGAGAAGATATTGTAAATTTTCAATATTTGGACTACATTCATTCTCTATTTGTTTTTTTTTTGAATAATTTTTTTATATTGTTGTTTGTGTGTATATATGGTATTCATCTGTTAATAATGATTGTTAATTCATTTTATCATTGGATTAAAACTTTTATATAGGTTACTTCCCAATCTTTTTCTCATTACTCCTTATTTGTATTAATTGAAGTAAAATGTAAGTTGGTAAACACATATTTGGCTATTTTATTTATTATTCTCCTATAAAACATACTTTTGGATTTCTTCTGTACATAACGACTCACATACTGTTTTTTACAATTCAGAACGACTTATATATCGTTTTTTACAATGCCATAATGACACACATATAATTATCGTACAAAAGTTTGATATTTTATAAAAAATTTCTGTTGAATTACAGTTAATTATAGTAGAGAGGGAAGGTCGGCCATAGCTATTTTCATTTTTGTATACTTGGTCAGATGACACCGCGGATATGGTATGGATATCAATTTGTTATTTAGTTGATTATGAACAGTGTATTGAAAGTGCATGAAAATGAAAATATGCATGGAATGGCAAAGGAAAAACAACGTCTATTCTTGTTTTGAAAACAAGATGTTGAATATCAATACAATGATATACAAAATGCAGATTTCTGTTCTTGTCCATATAATGTCTAAGAATCCAGCTACATCGACCATCATTGATTGTGACAACAATGTCAAGTTGTTTGTATTTGTTTGTAGAGAAACTTTTTTTTTTTTTTTTTGTGTAACCCTTTTGAATGTAGTTGTTGAAAATCAAGAAGATTTTGATGATAAGGGTATTTTATTACTAATAGAAAGTGAAGAACAATTTGGAAATATGAATAAGAAGAAGGAATATGTTCGACGGACGACAATGAATACGATGATAACGGTGATGGAATATATTGTATATTGTAATGGTTTTGACTTAAGTAAAGATAGTCCCAGAAGAGCAGATGACGAAGATAATTTTCTTGTATCAGACAACAATGATGTGAAGTAATATACGGATGAACCTTGTAGTTAGAATGTAGCAAATGATAATGATATTGAATGTAGTTGGATTGTATATGCAAGTGTAAGTTCGCTCCGTTGTGGGATATTGTAAGAAATTCGAAAAATGAAGATGTGTAAGTCAACCAACTATTTCCATCTAAATATAACCTAGTGTCAAAATTACAATTTCTGATTGTGAAGTGTTACTTTGAATACAAAGTTAAGAAGTCAAATAAAAGTGCTTATACAATTGCTTGTATTGATGAAAATTGTAAGTGGCGCTTGCGAGCAACCAAGATCGAAGAAGGTTCTATTTTCAAAGTTCAAAAGTACGATGGTCATCACTCTTGCTCCATAAGCTTTTGTAGTAGAGACCATAGGCATGCTTCATATATCATTATTGGAAACCACATCGTCCTTAAGTATCAAGATGCCAACTGAGTTTACAGACCAATGGACATCTGTTATAATAGTCGGATAGATTTCGGCATAATTTAAGTTATATTAAATTGTATGTGGCTATATATTTATATATATATATATATATATATATATATATATATA